GTCCCCGTCCCTTCCCAGCGACGCTTTCGCACTAAAACGCCACCACGAGCACCCAGGGCTCCTTCTCCACCTTCTCCATCCCAAGGGCACGCAGCTCTGGACATGCAGGGCCCAGGGTGACAGCTTGCTGCCCTTGAGAAGAACCCTTCATTTGAATACTGTTTCACTTCTCTTATTCTCTTCCCTTCMCCGGAGGCAACTGCTCTTCCACTGTCTTTGCTCCTGTTCCTCTACCGACTTGTTCCCCTGTCCCCTGTTCTTCAYTCTGTTTGCACAGCGCAGACAGGCTTCAACATCCCTAAGTGCCACTGCCGAACAGGGCGCCTGCTCTGGAAGTGGATACGGAACTCCGGGCACTACTGTTTTATCCAAAAGAACACGGCACTACTTGAATCTTTAAATTACTACCCTAGTATATGAATTAGGGGAGAGTCGAATCAGAGACTGAAAACAAAAGCAAAACAAGACAAGAGTTTAGCTTGTGAAATCCAGGAATATCCCTAAATGACGGCTGTTTCTAGAAGCGATTTTTCCCAACGGCACCATTTTTTCATCATAAGAAAAATTAAGTAATCCCAAAGTGCTCGGAGAAAATCTTAAGATGAAGGAACGGCACCATCTATTCCACTTTTTGTTGTGCAGGATTATGTTTTGTTGCTCTTTTGCTAGAAATAAGCCATCAGCATGAGATGCTTCACGCCAGACCCGCAGATCATTCTACCTACTTGATTGCTAAACTAGCAAGAGAGGCTAAGTCATCGGGCAAAGAAAGGCAGAAAGTCACAAACAAACGTAAGAGTTCAAAATCAGAAGGGATTTTTTTTTTCTTACATAACAATGTAAATGATTGTAACTAACCTACAAAATCTCAGGCTTTCCGAATCTTTTTGCTTGACAGAACAAAGCCAACTCCCAAACTTTGCTTATGAATTGCGAAAGCCACTTTTAGTCTAAATCATCGCTTAATTAGGTTTTGCAGCCCGTTCAGCACAGACGGGCTCATGAGGGGAATCTCAGCCTGCGCGCTCACTTATTTATACCCCACTATCTGCTTATGAGTTGGGCAGAACCTTCCATTCCCGGTAAATTCCTGTTAACGTGGAAAAAACCAACACTGGGAGCCCCTTCAAAGAGCTCCTTTGTCTCTCCCCTTGCTTATTTATTAACCAAAAGTGAGGGTATTTAGTGGCTTGATGCCTCTGCAGCAGACTCCTGACRGGCCGGTTGCCGGCCCCGTCCCTGCCCAGCTCCGTCCGAGCTCCTGGCCTGTCACTCGCGCCCCACGCCGGGCACYGGCACCGAGCTCTGGTATTCCCACACCGCTCCTTCCTGCAAAAACAGCAATGGGAAATGCCTTCCGTACACACATTCCAACTCCAAATCCAGGTCGTCAACACTAAAATAAGAGCAACTTTCTGAAACAGCTCCGTTTATCCCTTTGGAGTTCTTGCAAATAAAGACATAAATGAAACAATAACGTTTAGAAAACGCCTAGGAGCCCCTCGGTGAGGCAAGCTGCGCTTCCAGACCGGGCAACTTTCTACGACGTTCTTGCMGGTGTTTCAGAGCGCCGCAGGGGCCGGGCTGTGAGCGCTGCCCTCCCACGGGGCCGGTTCCGAGCCCGGTGCCGGTTCCGGTGCCGGCCCCGCCCGCCCCTGACCCACTAACACACCTCCCGCCAACATGGCCGCCCCGCCGGGCGGCGCGGGGCGCAGCCTAGCGCGCCTGCCGCCGCCCGCCCCGCCCTCCGCGCCCGCTCATTGGC